GCTGGACAATCCAACGCGGATTTCACGACGGACTATCCAGGTAATAACAACTTCATGAATAACATGAATAAATTCATAAATGAATGCATGAAAATCCATGAATAACAGTGAGCTCGAGAATCCCTCGTAGTCTTGAGTTGGCGATGCGAGCTGTGCACTGTGCGAAGCGCTAAGTGCCTGGCGCTCTTGACTCACACGACTGTGGAATTATATGCTTGAATTTGAAGTGTATAATTCCACAGTCGTGGAGTCTTGAAAAGCCAAGAATACGAACGTCACTTTTGATGATCAACAATGATGAATGAGATCATGCAGCTTACTTGTACAACTAATAGCACTCGGTATCCCGAACTCAAAGCGTGTTGACTCAGTCATGGGAATATATAAACATGTACGTGCCGATGGGGGAACCCAAAACCCGGACGCTGGGGCAGGGCAGGAATAATGCAGACACGGTTCCGTGCGAAATACAGAATGACGTCACCTGCCTCAGCGCCGGGAAATCCCGGGTGGCTGCGGGTGGGTAAAGAAAAGGTAACAATACGTGGCTACCATAGATCGCGAGAATAATACAGACCGACAAACACGAAACGTAGAATCTCGCTCGCCACTGGCGGCGTAGGACCGGGCTATTAGTCTTACAGTGTGCCTACACACTGGGCACGATAGATACCACGGGCATTGCAATGGTGCAATGCAACATTGATACTAGTCGGCAAAGAGTCTAATAGGTGCATGTTGCTGCTGCTCGAGATATCAGCACTGCTGATATCTCGAGCACTGCTGATTCAGCAGTACTCCGATTCCTCGACTCCGACGAGTTGGCAGCTATTCAAGACTCATTCGTACCATTCCTGATCGAACACCATTGCATTGCGCGTGAATAAAACTCAAAACAATTTCCGAATCGACCAACGTATGGTACTGTTAATTGAGGATCCGATGAACTCAACATTAAAAAGAGGGTGAACAACAACAAGCATGATATCACAGACGGCAACAAGCCTAGCCAGACATGTCAAGATCGGCTAACAAATTGATATTTAAAAAATCCTGATCGAAAAATTGATAAATATATAAGTCAGCGTACTCACTGATCTAATTCAAGCCTCCATCATTGAACAACAAGGCGACATTTGTGTTACCGCTGACCCTTGCTGATGCTGGTCTTGCGCACCGGAGCGTTCTTGTAGCTGTCTCTGTTCGAGCTCCGATATTGCTGTATATGCCAGCTTATATCGATGGTTGCTTCTCATCTCGTAAGAATGTATCACCCCAGAATGCACCATTTCTTCTACTGCGTCCGTGTACGTCTCATTCGTAACGACGCTCATTCTCCTACCATCTTTACCAAGTAAACACAGCCAGCAAGTTCGCATACAAGTTATTAAATGAGATCCGAAGACATAATAACAAAAATATGCCGCATAATAAGCGACTATGATTCCGATAAGAATAGCTTGCCCAACAGCAGCTCTTCTGAAACCGTCTTCTATCCGAGCCTCGATATACCATTGGAAAGAGTCGAGGTCACCCATTGGAACACCGCTGTACATGATCTGTTCATACCGCTTAGCATTACTACCGCTCATATAGCGATCAATGTAACTGAAGAAAACTAAATATGATAACGAGTCATATATGGCGCTTGAACTCACCGTTGTTCAGTGGCGTCCGTGAAGAAATCACTCGGGAAAACGTTCTGATTTCCGAGCCTGAAAAATGATTATAGTGATGGAAAAAAGTTGCGCGCGAGCTCACATCCAGAATGCCAAAAGACAATGCAGTAGCGCTGCCAAGGGTAACAACTTGATTGCACCGATCACAGTATCCTGGGTAAAAGCCGGTGGCCTTGCGGACAATCTACAGTGAATCGCATGAGGAGGAATTACTCGAAGAGTGGTACGTACCGAAGAAGGCAAGTCTTGTCAGCCCAATAAGCCACTAAGCAGTATAAAGCGCCGATGAACAACAGTATCGGCATGCTCGAAGAATACCTATGGAATGACAATAGGAAATCCATTCGAGACAGCGTGGGAAATACATAATCGCGCAAAACAACACGTTCATCGTTTGTGCTAGTCGCGACGCCAGGTTGAAATCCGGCAACTTGAACACTTGGTTCATCGCATCCTGAATTGCTAATCATGATCCCAATCTGATCATAGAGGATTCTTACTTGAGTCTTCTTTTTTCTACCGACGAATGGCATCATGATCAGCTTCACAGTTCCACTCACCAGAGGCGGGATAGCATCCCAAGCAATCTGTGATGAGGATTATGTTCAATGGGCTAGCAAATATAGATCAGTGATGATTCGTCATAACTATGCTTGTTCATTGAGCACTGCGACTCGCGGCCCATGCACGACTGCCTCATTGGTACAGTTTATTTGCACCAATCAGCTCGTTGGGCTCAAGTGTTACATCATTGATAGAAGCTCACCAAAGCCTAGCAACACCAACACATCCTACTTGAACAGCAATTGTTATGGCCAGACCGATACCAACTGCTTTATACCAAGTCGATGTGAAGTCGTCAAATTCGCCATCGCCGATTCTCAGTGTAGTTCCGAACTGACAAGTAGTCAGCATCAACCCCCTCAAAACTGATGAGACTTACCACTGGGATGTCCTCCGTCACGCCGTGCAGTTGCGCATTGACGAACAGAATAATGAGGCCAGTGTTGATCCATTGGGCCACGAACAACTTCTTCATCAGAGACATTTCTTTCGTAGTGAACTGATCGGCCACTTGAACGGTGATTTACCGATACGGACATCTCACTGAAGTGTGTTTCTCCATGTCAACCAAGAAGTATATAATCATCGTCAAGAGCCAGTTAAGCAGAGTAACCGATAACACTGCTACTATCGCCATGATGAATTCGAAAAGCTGCAAAGAAAATGAGATGAATAAAAAAAAACCCAGCTTACTTTTTTCAGTAAATACGGTTCGCACAGTTTCTGAGCCTCACCATCGTAGGGTGGGAAAAAGTACCTACAAGTCGAACGCACACGAGGATAACGCTGACCCGTTCACCTAGTGTTGCCGTTAGCGATATTGAATTGCAACTGTTGATAACAGAAGCATTGGTACGTATCGTCGTCCAAGAGATCGTCATCGTTCGGATTCGCAGCTTTTATTTTCTTCACTCGAGCCAGCGAAATCGGCAACTACCAGAAAACTTCTCGGTGAAAACCTCACAACCCCGACTCCACAAGAGACTATATTGCTCTGACGTCAATCGAAACTCCATGAAAAATTTCGAAGATGGATTCAATTCGATGCTACCGTCTGGCTCAGCATCGATTCACCATTATTCCTATAACCAGTTTTGGCTGTAAAGAAGCCGGAGCGGAATGGATAAGGAGTTTGATGCGAAACGAAAGTCGCGACTTCGCAATCAAAAATTCCCGACCAATAGAGGGAAGCGAACGTTTCAAAGATGCCTCATCAAGGCAATGCTGGAATATACGTTCGCTTTCCTCAACGGAGTATAGGAGTTTCCTCACTTGTGAATAGAAGTGTACCAAAACCAACAAGAATTTCGGAGATTGTCCTCAGAGTTTCCATATTGTCACCAACCCACGTAGTTGCCCATGTGCATATTTTCCCCGACACTGCACCAATGAGAGTAATCGGCTCTCAGTTCAGAAGGCTCCACGGCACATTGAGATGTACGAGGAGACATCAGTCATCAGGATGATGCCCTCACTTACGGAAACTTCACAGCGATCATCGTCCTCAACTTTTTTCGTCGAAGCTTCCCCCACTCTCGGAATTTTGCACACCCCCGACCCAATATCTTCCGATCCAACGATTTCGCCCGTAGCATCATAGCACTCGTAGTTATTCTTCATCATCACCTGTACACCGGCGAGGTCTTATCTGGATCTGTCAATCAGAACACTTACGACATCGCAGTTGCCGGAAATGCACTCCTTGCTTGTCGGACTAGTACTGTATGCCAGTGTTTTGGTACCCACCGGTGCGGGGGTAGTCGTAGTAGTGGTTGTCTCTGTAGTGACTTTGTGTTTCAGTAGATCCGCAGTAGCGTCAATATTGGACAATGTGATCACCTTGAAAAATCGACGATTTCAAATATCCAAATTGCCACGTTATCACTATAGCAGTATTTTCTCGAGCAATTCCCAATTCTGATGATAAAACATGGACCTACTTTCATCGCCTTGCAGCTGGTCTCAGGTTTTCTGAGTACAACTCCTGCACCATCCCGGAATACTTCACTCTCATCACAGGCGAACATTTTCACTTCCGAGACAGCCTGACCGCAATAGCAGAATAAACCACTGGCACACTGGAAGCGCTTCGACGTACTTTATCGACAGGTTGCATAAACTTGATACACTTCACCATCACAGGTGCGGCAAACATAACACCGAGCCAATCCTTAACCAGAGTCACCGGCGCCAGCGCTTCCTGTGCTGCAGTCGCTGTAGAGAACTCATCACCACTTCATAGAAGCTCTAAGGTATCTCACATGATTCCATCTCTGCCCTTGCTTGAAGTTGTGCAACACATTCCGGTTGAGTCTCGTCCGAACCATCGGCACAATCTCTCACTTCATCACAGTAGAAAACATCCTCTATGCATTCACCGGAGCCACACTTGAACTGTGTATCTTTACAAAGTGCGCTCGGGGGAGCCGTCGTGAAGATGCACCTGGGAGACCGACTAATGAATTCTATCTTATTGGTCATTCATACTCTCGTTCATCAGCGGCCACACTTTCGCCCGGCTCGATCACCTCGCACTCTGCGATTTGATTGCAGACAAATCGTTCATCGATACACGTTCCTGTTATCGGGCATTTAAACCTCGGCGCGAGACAAAGTTGTTGTATAGCATCTCGGACCTGGTCGCTCCCAATGAAACCATCCGAGGAGGATGCAGCGTCTTACTTGAGGGTCCGTAAGACTCAAATACTCCACCGGTGGCAAATTCGGCAACGAAGTGGTGAGTGTGTTCATCAGCGTCGTCTGCTTCGCCGGGTCAGTGTTGACACTCTCAAGGCTGTCAACAACGACAGCTGCCTCAGCCTCCGTCGCAGTTTCTCGTTCGACCAACGTTCCCGTCGTAATACCACTCTCAACAGTAACCTGAGCGCGCCGATCAAGGACGATACGGAGGCTATACGGATAGTCACCTCGAAGTTGATCGAGCTGCTGACCGTACCCTCAGTTTGAAGCCTTCTTGGCAACGGCGTTGTCGTTGCCACTTCCTCCACTGTTATTTCGGGCGCGCTCGCTGCCGTCTGTTAAGTCAAAATTTATGAGGAAAAA